CGAACTGAGGTGTGGATTTATTAAAGGGGCCAACTGAGGCGTGGATTTATTAAAGAATATTTTTCAAGGGCCAACTGAGGCGTGGATTTCAAGGGCCAACTTAGGCGTTGATTTATTAAAGAATATTTTTCAAGGGCCAACTGAGGCGTGGATTTATTAAAGAATATTTTTCAAGGGCCAACTGAGGCGTGGATTTATTAAAGAATATTTTTCAAGGGCCAACTGAGGCGTGGATTTATTAAAGAATATTTTTCAAGGGCCAACTGAGGCGTGGATTTATTAAAGAATATTTTTCAAGGGCCAACTGAGGCGTGGATTTATTAAAGAATATTTTTCAAGGGCCAACTGAGGCGTGGATTTATTAAAGAATATTTTTCAAGGGCCAACTGAGGCGTGGATTTATTAAAGAATATTTTTCAAGGGCCAACTGAGGCGTGGATTTATTAAAGAATATTTTTCAAGGGCCAACTGAGGCGTGGATTTATTAAAGAATATTTTTCAAGGGCCAACTGAGGCGTGGATTTATTAAAGAATATTTTTCAAGGGCCAACTGAGGCGTGGATTTATTAAAGAATATTTTTCAAGGGCCAACTGAGGCGTGGATTTATTAAAGAATATTTTTCAAGGGCCAACTGAGGCGTGGATTTATTAAAGAATATTTTTCAAGGGCCAACTGAGGCGTGGATTTATTAAAGAATATTTTTCAAGGGCCAACTGAGGCGTGGATTTATTAAAGAATATTTTTTCAAGGGCCAACTGAGGCGTGGATTTATTAAAGAATATTTTTCAAGGGCCAACTGAGGCGTGGATTTATTAAAGAATATTTTTCAAGGGCCAACTGAGGCGTGGATTTATTAAAGAATATTTTTCAAGGGCCAACTGAGGCGTGGATTTATTAAAGAATATTTTTCAAGGGCCAACTGAGGCGTGGATTTATTAAAGAATATTTTTCAAGGGCCAACTGAGGCGTGGATTTATTAAAGAATATTTTTCAAGGGCCAACTGAGGCATACTAGATTTAAGCTTTCATAGATTTAAGCTTTCTTTGTTAGCATGTAAGTTGTAAATAAATCACTCTCCATTAAGCAACCAAACAAACAAGAAGTGTTTCATTTTAATCAGAGCGAACGAGCAGCCAAAGTATTCAACAGGTTATGGGCCCAGGTCTACGCAGTAGCAGAACACACAATTAATAAGTGAATGCCCAGAAAAATATTAAAGTGTTGAGTGGACAGCGAAAAAAAAAATAGAAAAGACATTGTGTTAAAAGTGCGTCGAAAAGAAAAATAAATATAACAATAATGTCGTCAATACTAAATATTGAAAAATTGTCAGAGGACAATTATGAGTCCTGGAATATGCAAATGAAGAGTGTGCTGATCCACCAAGACCTGTGGGAGGTTATTTCAGAAGAAGTGGTTGCGGAGAAGAGTCAAGAGTGGAAAAAGAAAGACGAAAAGGCAATGGCGACGATTATATTAAGCATCGCGCCAGTTCAATTGTCCCACATCAAAAACTGCAAAACAGCAAAGGATGCATGGAAGTGCCTAGCAGAAATTCATCGGCCAAAAGGGCCAATAAGAAAAGTGTCGCTGTTTAAGAAATTAATAAACATGAAAATGGAAGAAACCGATGCAGTGCAACAATATATGTGCGAATTTACGCAAGTTGTGGATAGACTGGCCGAGTCAGGTATCGAACTGAATGAGGAAATTTTGGTCATAATGATCCTCGCCAGTCTTCCCAAATCATTCGAAAATTTTGTGGTGGCACTTGAGTCGAGGGACACTTTACCATCTTTATCATCGCTGAAAATAAAATTGGCTGAAGAAAATGAAAGGAGATCATCAGGTAGCAACATTGAAGAAAATCGTACACAGGCGTTTATGACCCAAAACAAAAGAATTTACAACAAAAACAACAATAGAAAATTTAACAACGCACATCAACCAAACTCCAACAACAACGCAGGTAGCAGTCAGAAAGGGTTCCGCACACACAAGAACAACAACTGTTTCAACTGCGGCGGCAGAGGCCATTTCGCTGCTCAATGCAAGAAGGCAGGGAAAAAGGGCGAGCAAGCGTACACCGTTTTGGCGTCGATCGACAACAACAACCTCAATAAAAATGTATGGTGCCTAGATAGCGGTGCTTCCTCACACTTATGCTGCGATCGAAACATGTTTACGACGTTTGAGGAGCATCATGAGCAAATCTCCCTAGCAGGCGAAAAAACCATCGAAGCAAAGGGGAAGGGGAGAGTTGCGATCAACAAGGGTGACGTTGTGCTGAATGATGTCTTATTTGTGCCGAGCCTACAGTGTAATTTTATTTCGGTAGGCAGAGTAGCGGTTGTTCATGATGTGAAATTCGGCAAGCAGAGTGCGAGAATCATAAACAAGGGGAGAATTGTGCTGACAGCGAGGAGAGCGGGTAATTTGTTTTTGTTCAGCGAACCTCATCAAAATTTGTTTCTGGCCGAAGCAACAACAAATGCAATGCAGTGGCACTACCGTTATGGTCATCTGAATGTGGACAGTTTGCGACAACTAGCAGAAGAGCAAATGGTTGAAGGTATGAATGTAAAATTTCCAAAAACTTTGAATTGTACTGTGTGTATGAAGAGTAAGTGTATAGTTAGGCCATTTACAAACACAGAGAATAGGGCGAGTGACTTATTAGAAATTGTTCATACAGACATTTGCGGACCAATAAATGTAGCATCTTTAGGGGGAGCTCGTTACATATTGACATTCATAGATGACAAATCCCGTTATGTGTTTGCTTATTTTTTGAAAGCAAAAAGTGACGCTGTATGAGTTTTATTGGCTCCTCGAGCCAGCGCAAAAAAAAAACACAAAGAGTTTTCTTAAAAAATTTAAATTGTCTCTGGGGCAACTTTATTTAACAATAAATTATAATTTAATATAATTTGTAAATTTTATGCTCCCGACGGGACAATCAATAATTATTACTATTATAAAAACCTTAATTAAATTAATTAAAACAATTGCAGCAAGGCAGAATTAATGTTGTTCGATAGATCGGTTTAATGCAGCACGGCAGAGTATAACGACAGAACTAAAAACTAATGCAAATAATAAAACATAACAAGCCGGCATTGATCTTATTTACTGTCTCTGCTTTCGCTATTACCTTTGTTACGACGTCGCTGCATTATGTTTAGTAAATAAACAATGCAGCGACAACAACAACAATAACAAAGAATAACGTAACAGAGACAGTAAACAAAGATCATTGTCCGTGCTACGTTGCCAAATTATGACCTTGAATTATTTGCATTAGAAAAAGGGAATAGGCAAAAATAGAATATTAACAAAATTAGGGATGTCAGTTGGTGACAGTTTAGGGAAGAAAATAGGGATGCCATATTAGAATGGTAATATAAAGGAAAAATAATAAATATAAATAATAAATTATTAAAGAATAAAATCGAAATAAATAAAATAGTAAATAAATAATCGTTGATTCTCCAACATTCCCCCGCACAAAGAACAACTGTTCTTGACATAGATTGGGGCAGATTTGAGAGGTGTTTTATTTGGTTTCCGAGCTAACCACGCTGTGCCTCGGCTCACAGCAACTCTTTTCAGGATCATTTGCGTAATTAAAGTTTTGTTGTTGGGGCAGAAGTGCAACTTTAGAGACAGGACGTTTATAGATTTTACCACTGCATTTCAGGGAAACAACTCGGACTTTTCCATCAGCACCGGGATGGACTTCTGTAATTCGGGCTAGTGGCCATTGACCTGGGGGAACTCGTTCGTCAAATATGATGACCAAATCGCCAACTTCAAGGTTCTTTTGGGGTTTGAGCCATTTTGGGCGAGATTGTAAACGGTTGATATATTCAGTTTTCCAGCGATTCCAAAACTGTTGATTGAGCAACTGAACTACTTTCCAGCGGGAAAGCCTATCTATATTGTGGTCTAATAGATTTTCATCTGGGACAGATAAAATTGGCTCTCCAACCAGGAAATGGGATGGAGTTAAGGCTTCACAATCTGCTGGGTCAGTTGAAATGGGGCAAAGCGGCCTGGAATTAAGACATCCTTCAATTTGAGTCAAGAGAGTGGACAATTCCTCATAGGTTAGGATTCGACTATCCATAATGCGTTTCAAATGGTGTTTTGTAGATTTTACACCCGCTTCCCAGAGACCTCCAAAGTTTGGCGAAGCGGGTGGTATAAAATGCCAATTTGTGCCACTGTTAGCGAGAAGGTTTGCTAGATCTTCCGGTAGCGATTCAATGCTTCTTCTTTGAAGTATTTTGAGTTCTTTGTTAGAGCCAACAAAGTTTGTGCCGCAGTCTGAATATAGGTCAGAGCACATGCCACGTCGTGAGGTAAATCGTCTAAATGCGGCAATAAAAGCGTCCGTAGAGAGGCTAGTAACAGCTTCAAGGTGCAGCGCTTTGGTGACCATACAGACAAAGAGGCAGATGTATCCCTTTGTCGTAACAGAATTTCTTGCTGTTGATTGTTTTATAGTTATTGGACCAGCGTAGTCAACACCACTGTGCTTAAACGGTCGAGTAGGTTGAACTCGTACCGATGGCAGGTTTCCCATTATTTGCTGAGATGACTTGGCCTTGTACTTGAAACAAGTAATACAGCTGCGTAGCACTTTTTTAGCCAGGTTGCGGGCAGAAAGTATCCAAAACCTTCGAGTAACATACGCCTGCATTTGAATAAGGCCGCCATGTAGAGTCTTCAGATGGGCATCTGTAAAGATTAAAAGAGACAATGGGTTTTGTTTCGACAAAATAATAGGATGTTTAAATTCATAATGAAACTTAGCCTTTTGTAGACGTCCTCCAACACGAAGTAGACCATCTTCGTCGAGAAATGGGCAAAGTTGAGCAATTCTGCTACTGGAATGAACGCCTTTTTCCTTTCGTAGCTGTTGAATTTCGAGTCCAAAATCCACATCTTGAGACAGAGTAATTAATTTCTGCAGCGATTTCTTCAGTTCGGAAGATCTGAGATAGCCAGACAATCGTTCCTTCGAGTCTTTCTTATATTGGAGAAAACGCAGGATATAAGCAGTGATGCGAATTAATTTCGTAAGAGAGGAATATGCCGTGAGCAATTCTGGATATTCCGAGACAGTAGATGAGTTTACTTTTAATGCAGACTTTCGCATTTCGAGACTGGTTTCGTAGGAGTTCTCTGGTTGTTTGGGCCAACTAGATGGAGCTTGAGAGAGCCATAGTGGACCTGTCCACCAAAGAGGATGAGCAACTAAGTCAGCAGATGATATACCACGGGAAGCACAGTCAGCAGGGTTATCGTTTGTAGAGACATAGCGCCATTGAGAAATATTAGAGTACCGTTGGACTTCGCTCACTCGATTTCCAACAAATACGCTCCATTTTGAAGATTCTCCTCTGAGCCAACATAAAACAGTTATACTATCTGTCCAATAAAATGTGTTTTCAATGTTTAGCTCCAGCATATTTTGAACTTTATGGACAAGTTTCGCTAGCAGTGTTGCTCCACACAATTCCAATTTTGGGACAGATAAAACCTTTAGTGGGGCAACTTTTGTTTTTGACTGTAGTAAGTTAACTACACCTTCTCCGTTCGCATTTAAAACTTTGATAAATACAGCAGCAGCGAATGCTGAGGTAGAAGCGTCACAAAACCCATGCAGTTCTACGATAGATTTTTTGGAACTGCCAACCCAGCGAGGTATTGAAACATTTTCTATCGTTTTTAGTTCTTTTAAGTAAGAATTCCAGTTATTTTTCATGTTTGGAGAAACCTCATCTTTCCAATCGATGCCTTCGAGCCATAACTTTTGGAAATATATTTTCGCCTGAATTGTGACAGGCGCCAGCCAACCTAGTGGGTCATACAATTTTGCAGCATCTGATAAAAGACTTGCTTTTGTGACATTTTCTTTGATGGGGAAGTTAACTTCAAATGAGAAAGTATCATAATCAGTATTCCAGCCTAAGCCTAAAGCTTTTACCACATTTGGTTCATTTAAATCGAAAACATTTGATTTTTCACGGAAGTCTTCCGGTATATGAGACATAAGTTCTGTGGAATTAGAAGTCCATTTGCGTAAATTAAATCCACCAGCGGATAATAATTTAACCAAATTTTCCTGTAGAAATATTGCTTCTGACTCAGAGTCAGCACCAGAGATAATATCATCTACGTATGTGTCCGTTTTTAATATCTTACACGCTTCTGGGAAAGTTTCGTTTTCATCTTGAGCCAATTGATGAAGTACTCGAATCGAGAGGTACGGGGCTGAAGAAGTGCCATAAGTGACAGTTTTAAGCTTGTATACGTCGATATTTGAGTCAGAATTTCGCCATAATATTTGCTGATAATGTTGATGGCTTTCTATAACTTTTATTTGTCGGAACATTTTCTCCAAATCCGATCTAAATCCTATTTTAAATCGACGCCATCGATTAATAATAGTCGGCAAGTCATTTTGTAGAGCAGGGCCAGGAAAAAGTTCTTCGTTCAATGAAGAAGAAGGTAATCTTTTACTGCTACCGTCGAAAACAACACGCAGTTTTGTCGTGGAACTAGATTCCCTCACAACGCCGTGATGAGGCAGAAAATATCCATAAGGTTGGATGGATTGAGGATAGGGACCAATTTTTTCCATATGACCGAGCGATTCATATTCATCCATAAACTTTTTGTATTCAGAGGCAAAGTTTGGGTCTTTAGAAAACTTACTTTCAACTTGTTTTAGTCTTTTTAAGGCACTGAAGTCACTGTGACTGAATACAGGGGGAGATTTGCCAATTAGTTGAGACCGAAAGGGTAAAGCTACAGTGTACCGTCCATCTGAACCACGCGAGTAATTATTTTTGAAGAAATCTTCACAAGATAGTTCTTCAGGTGTCAGTTTTCTAGATTCGATCAGCTCTTCTTGTTCCCAAAAAGCTTTTAACTGAGTGTCTAAGGAACACAAATTAATATTAACTCCCTTGGAGTAAGAAATCTCTGCCGTTGGGCCAGAAACTATCCATCCGAAATGGGTAAGTTGAAGAAAAATGCCTTTTTCGAATTTCTTTTGTTGAGGAAGTAAAATGTCTCCATACAGATCACCACCAATGAGCAAATCTATTTTATCGTTTTTGTCGAAATCTGGATCAGCTAATTCGAATTCATTTAATTGAGGCAGTTTTTGTCTGTCCACAGGACCAGCACAATAATTATTCAAAGACGGCATTACATAAGCTTGGCTTTCCAGCTCGAAATCATTTTCAAAGTGAGAGGCAAGATTAAATTTCACAAATTTGCGAACAACAATTGTGTCTCCACCTACACCAGTTATTCGGGCAAATGTATTAAACTTTTTAAGTCTTAGAAGTTGAGCTGCACTTTCTGTGATTAATGTCGCTTGAGCACCTTGATCTAAAATCGCTCTTAATGTGAAATTTCCATATTCGCTCTTTACTATGACACGAATAGTTGCGAGCAATACATGAGGCATTACTGTAGTGTTCATCAGAGACAAGTTTATGTTTGAGTTATCAACAGAGGAAGAAGAGGCCATTTGATCTGGGATATTTGAATTGTTGGATTTGCTTTGAGTGGTACACTCGTTATGAATAATAGTGTGGTGAGCAAGGTTGCAAGATTTGCAACGACTAGTACTTTTGCAGTCTTTCGAGAAATGTCCAATATTCAAACAATTGCGACATATTTTCTTCAAATTAATTAATTCACGCTTAGAGGCAGAAGACATAGCGGCAAATTTGAAACATTTGTAGAGAAAATGGCGCTTACCGCAACAGGGGCAATTTTCATCGTTAACAGACGCCATATTTATTCGACGATTTTGAGTCAGTTTTTGTGGTTGGTGCGATTTAGAGTAATTAGGCTTATACTGTGGTTTGGATGTGCACTCAGCGTACTCAGAGATCGATTCCAATGTTCGAAAAGTAGTTTCGAGAAAATTGTATAAGACTGATATATTGGGTATTTCAGTTGTGGCCTTCAATGACTGCTCCCATTCTTTGCATGTTTGGAGATCCAATTTACTAACAGTAATATGGATAAGCAGAGGATCCCAATTAGAGCAGTCAATGCCTAAAGTGCTCAATAGAGCCAAGCTATTTCTTGTCGAGTCAAGGAGAGTTTTTATGCTTTCACACGTGCCATTAGATTTTGGGATACTGAGCAATTTCCGTAGAACTGTATCTGTTATTTTCCTTTTATTGTGATATCTATTTTCCAACGCAGTCCATGCTAAATCATAGCTTCTTTCAGAGGCAGGATATTCATTCACAATAGATAAAGGCGTATCTCGGCACGAATTTTTGAGAAAATAATATTTTTGCACATTGGACAAACTTTGATTGTTGTGCACAAGAGAAAGGAACATATCTCTATAAGAGACCCAATTTAAATAGTCACCGGAAAAAGTGGGAATATCTATCTTAGGAAGACGAACTTCTGGAATAATAGTATCGTTCCTTTGAGAAGATGAGGCATGGAATGTAGAATGGAAATTCGGAGAACTCGGAGCACGATATTCAGAAATAAAATCGAGCAATTTTCCTTTTCCACTGAGATAAATTCTAAAAAATTGATAATGGACATCGTCGTGGAAGTATGGGACATCAGCAGTATTAATTGATTTGTCCCGAACGATATCGAAAAGTTGCTCATGGTTAGCTTCAAAAGTTTTTTTAATTTCTTCTATCTCATCGAGACAGCTTTGGCACAAACCTCGGGTTTTTTCACCAATGGACAATTGTTCGAAATCCGAAATGATTCGTTGAACACGGGTCATTAAAATCTTTTGATCTTCAATTGATCTTGAGTAATCCTCCATTTTAATTTTATGCAAAATTTCACTTTCGAGAATTTATAATTTAAAATGTCCCAGTAGAGGAGTAGAAATAAATTTTTTATAAAATTGTCCGATTAAAATTCCTCACCAATATGAGGCAGAGTCAGCTGTAGTTTGGCACACACAAACTTGATAAAATATAGTTTTTATTATTTCCCAGAGACGGGGCAGATTTGGTTTCACAATTTCTTTGTTTTTATTTTCACCATTCAGTTTAAATTTCTTTCTCAAATTTTCAGATTTTTTGTAAATTTAGTTTTTCGTTGCACAAATTTATTTTCTTTAATTTCCAGCTTTTGTAATTTTAGTTTTTTTCCAGCTTTGTTATTTTAGTTTTTTCCAGGTTTGAGTAATTTTTTAATATTTTTTAATTTCCAGCACAGGGGCAGATAAAGTTAAAATTTCAATAATTTTTTCTTCCAGAGAATGAGGCAATATAATTTCACTTTGATTTAATAATTTTCAGTTTATTAGAACAATTTTTTTTTATTTTCACAGTTTGTGAGTTCCACTTTTTCAGAAAAAGTTAATTTATTTACACACTGTTTTTTTTATTTTGTATAATTTTTTAGTTTTAGGGATAAGTCACTTTTTATTTTATTTATTCTTTTTTTATAGGGAATGTTCACTATTCCCGGGTTTCGGCACCATAAAAATGTATGAGATTTATTGGCTCCTCGAGCCAGCGCAAAAAAACACAACAAAAGTTTTCTTTAAAATATTTGATTGTCACTGGGGCAACTTTATTTTACACAAAATTATAATTTAATATAATTTGGAAATATATTCGCCTCCTTATGGGACAATAATTAATTATTAATATTATAAAATTTAACTTAAATTAATATTTAATTAATTTAACAAAACCGAGTTAAGTTATTTTGAACAATCGCAGCAAGGCAGAAATTAATGTTTGTTAGATCGATTTAATGCAGCACGGCAGAGTATGTAAACAGAACTAAAAAATCTAATGCAAATAAAAAACATAACAAGCCGGCATTGATCTTATTTACTGTCTCTGCTTTCGCTATTGTCTTTGTTATGACGTCGCTGCATTATGTTTAGTAAATAAACAATGCAGCGACAACAACAACAATAACAAAGAATAACGTAACAGAGACACGAGGGGTCATAAAATATTTTTTTTGTTTCTGCTTTGGGTTTATCCCCACGTAAACATCTGAGCCTCTGTTAACATAGTGTGTCACTACTATGAAACTTATTAAAAATAAGCACATCATAAATTGAGGCTCAGGTGTTTCTGGTAAATCAGCACAGCATTCAAACTCAATAATTCTTTGAGTTAAAAT